GGAGCTGGAGGTATCCATATTTCATCATATTTCTCTCTCAACAGGAAGCCAAGGGAGCTACAGGGAGTTCCCGACACCACTGGCTAGCTACAGCTGCTCCTCCCAGCATTTAGTTCACTTTGGGTCTTCGAGGAGTGTTTGAGGATGCCCTTGCTGCGTTCTAAGGATACTGTTTGGATTCCAATTGCCCAGTTTATCAGCTCTTCAGTAGGTTAAACATTATACTACGTACCTTTCAAAGCTACAAGAAGATCCCCCCAAAAGAACGAAGGCACTTGCGCAACGCTGCCCTTCGTTTTCTGCAACCGCTGCCCTTCTGAAGCTGAAGCTCCGGTCTCCACGCGCTGGAGAGTGGGTCATGACACCCAGGGTGGCCCCCGAACTCACCAGGAGCCCGGTGGACCAGGTCGATTCTGTTTACCTCGCAGACACGCTCAGACCTCGCGTGTGAGACGTGACGTGTAGAGTGTGTGTGTGTGGCATCCACGACTCACAGTGCATGTGAATGCCCAATGTACCCCAAAAGCCCGCCCGTCCGCCATGCCCCGCCCAAGACCTGAGTGTGTAGCGAAGACCACCGTTTCGCCATCGATCCTGAAGGTTCAGAAGACGTCTTCCAGTCTACTTATCTATAGGGGTAAGATCTGAAGGTCAAATGTGGGATCTTGACTAATAACCTTCCCTTTGAAGAGGTTTTATAAGCCAACCCACCTACCCCCTTTCCAATACGGGGTAAGGGGCAGTGTGGGAACGCGACACGCCCGCAAGTGAGTGCCAAGACAAGATCCTCATTACTATAATAAATATACTCATGTTGAGATGGGATGGGGTCCGAGAAAGAATGATGTTGCAGCCCTCGGTAAAACTTGGCAGAGCCACATTGCAAGAACACCCCTCTTGCAGTGACAGTGAGATTTCTTCCTGCACCACAGATTTTCGGGTGGTTCTTGGATGGATTATACATGACAATACATAGGTTCAAAGGGGTGTCTATAAACCACTCTTTCCTCTGTGCTGCTGGTTGCAAGTTTCGTTTCCTTCAAGTCTGTTGTTGCACTCATTCAGCAGGTGACCGGTGACTGGTGCGTGCGCGCAACGAATCTCCATGGTCATCCTATCGTCGTACAAAAGGGGGCCATGCCACCTTTTCCACGAAGAACAACAGGGAGTGTCAGATTTTTTTGGGGACCATTGTGGCCATTTCAGGGCCCTTCCAATGGGCCGAACATGGAGATCCCTTCATCTCCAGGACCCCGTGAGCGAGCTGCATAAGGCTCATGCGAGCCTCGGCGGGAACGGACCCGGTGTGGGGCGAGCCTGACGCCGGACGCGCGTCGTTGCACGAGCTCCCTGGGTAGATCCGTCCGCCTTGAGGCGGTTCTCCCTATGAAAAACAGACACCCATTGAGCCAGGCGCTCCTCCCTTGAGCCAGGGGCTGGCCTAGGCGTCGTTGCACGACCTGGGTAGATCCGTCCGCCTTCTTGAGCACCTATTGGGTCCATTCAGCACCTCACATGGCTGTCCTCGAGGTCGAGGTCCTCGAGGCTCAGCACCATCTAGCACTGGTTCAAAGGGTCGAATCCATGCTCCGCTCGACCATTGGGTTCCAGCGTCGCTGGGTGTCGACATGGACCCTTGGATGTATGTCTATAGACCATCCGTTCTGGGTGTCCTGTCTGGACTAGCCTACACTACTTGGGAGACTTATATAGGGATTCTTTTTAGCCAGGACACCCATAGGATGCTTTAGGATGTTCTAGGATGGTAGATGCCCCACATGTTGTTTGGTGAAAGGATGTGAAAGGCAATCTCAGGTGGCAAGCTTGGGATACATCTGGACATGCCCAGGGCGGACAGCATTGCTCGAATTTTCCTCGAAACCACTTTTCTGGCTCAGGCTGTCATTGTGTTTTCTTCCCTGCTGCCACTGTAGTCCGGTGGGGAGAAAAACACCAGGGCGAGCATCATGTAGACTTGCTACTGGTACTAGTAGCGATGGCCTCCAAGCTAATAGCGATGGCGTCCACCCTAGTAGCGATGGCCTCCAACCTAATAGCTTCTTGTTACTACTATAATATAAATACCCATTATAAACTAATCACCTCTACAAAATTACCCAGAATATGTCAGAATGCTTTTACATCATTTTGCATCTCCAGTCCGATCTTCGATTTGAATCAACCGTCAGATGCGTTCAGAGTCCCGGTCGGCCCAAGGCCCAATGGAGGTAAACCTCCATTTGGATGGGTCATTGGGGTCCTCCGTGGGTCTCGGGCCGCGGTGGGTGGGCATCGCGGGCCCGGTCGCACTGGTGCGGTTTTCAGATGCGGAAGAACTGGGCCGCTGGGCAGCTGAAGAACTTCCAGTTGTAATCACTCTGACTTCTGAAGTCTTTGATGGTCTCTGATGGTTCTAGGCTGATGGTGGGGATAGACTGTTGGGATAGCATTGCTATGATGCTTTTCTGATGCCTTTCTCAAAGACCAAACCAACCTCAAGAAGACAACATTCAGAGCAGTTTATCTTGACCTGGGATGAGTTTTCACCCACTGGTCCCTGTGTGTGTTTTTTCTTCGGCCCCTGCGTTGAAACCACCAACCGGTCAACCAGAACACTCAGTTGATGCACTTCAGAAGCTGAGCTTCCAAGGATTCTGAGCAACCTGCTGCAGCAGATGAGGTGCCCTGTGGTGAACCTGGGGGTAGGAGGTGCGGTGCAGTGGTGCAGGGTTCAATAGCGATGCCCTTGCTACTACTAGTAGTAGTGCCCTTGTTACTGGTAGTTTCTTGCTACGAACGTAGCGATGCACTTGTTATTGATAGCGATACCCTGGTTACTACATCCCCAAAGTAGTTGGCTGGCCTTTTCCGGTTCAGGTGTCCATAAGGTCGATCCAAGTTCTTGCGCCTTGGAGGAAACTGACAGAGAATTGCGAGATGGGAGAGCATTCTTGTTAGAATGAGTCAGCGGTTTTCCCTCTTCAAGGTCTATTCATCTCTATCACCACCAGACTGGACGAACAAGTTGCAGAGCCTATTGCAAATTCAATCATATACTAGTACATGATTTAGAATGGGGCCCTTAGCGGGATTTCATGGGAAACTGTCACATCAGTTGGTGTAGGTAGAAGCTCCCGTTGACGATCAGCTCAGGTAAACATCGGGAAATCATCGCAAAAGACGAATTGTCCATACCACACAGACCGACACAGAGCTCTCTTTACCATCTCCATGCCTGGTATTTTGCTTAACTAAACAGATGATTCGTCTTTATTTCCCGGTTAAATCCCTTCTGGGGAATATGTTATTTTTGGGCTTTTGTTCGATTTTCTTTTTCTGTTCCTTCAGCAAATCCAAGCATGGCATCCCAAAACGAAAGCACCTGCTGGCGCCATGTCAACCTGGGGACCGCGACCTGACCCACGTCGTGTCTGTCTCGCACACCCACGTCTGGGGGAAGCCACCGACCCTTCAAACGAAAGCGCCCGAAACGATGGGGATCGCGACTCCGATCATCCACAGTGACCGGAAGAGGTGTCTCGTGGCTTTTCCTTCTTGGGAGGGTCTTGGAGATTCTCCGGTATTTTTGAAATCGTGCAAGATCTCATCCCAAAAGATCTCAAAAGATCAAAATCACCCTAATTCCTCCAAACATTCTTGATTTTCATGGGTTACTTTTTCTCCGGTGATCTCGTTTCTGACCAACTTTTTCGTGTTCATCACGTTTCATGCATCGTCCCGATGGAAGTGCCTTGGAGGCCAGAGCCTCCAGCCTTGGAGTAGCGGCAGGAGTTGATTGAGTGTTTGCGGAGACAACGGGGAGGAAGAGCAGAGGAATTGACAGAGGTCATTGAAGAGGTGCCGGTGCCCCCAAAGATTCGAGCGCTCATTGATTAAATAGTAAAGAACACTGGATAATTACCGAAGAACCCTTGTTTTACACTATATGTGTATATATATATACATGCATATATAACTATATAACAAGTATATAAACAATGTTTTAAAAGTGGTCTTTGAAGGCTCTCTGTACAGTGGATCGGAAGTGAGATTTCTTACATAATGGCGATATAAGGGTATAGTATGGGCGGCACGCTTTCGGTCAACAAATGGCCATATGGGGCCCTTTGGTTCTGATGAGTGTAGAACAATTCCACACACACGCTCATACATTTTGCAACAAAGATTGAACTTTGACTTTACACTCTTGTGGTACTGTGCATGGAATCAGAGTTCTTCTGGATCACCTGGCATTCAGAGTTTCACACGTGGACGGATCCATGTTAAACGACCCCGCCTCGATGATATTGTTCTATTGCCATATTAGTATACATTGGACACTGCCCGTGATCTAATCAACTCATATATATGTTATATATATACACATATATTTACATATTATACGGACGGCAAACAGCTAGAACCAATCACTCTGGGACTTACTCTGTGGTCATGCTAGGGGGTGATCATCGAAAGTCATGTCCTACAAACACCGGACGTCATGTCGCCGCACGCTTTCGTCAGCCAGGACCACTTTCCAGAGCCATCCCCTTCACCAAGTGAAGTGAATTCCACTTCACCATAAGGATTCAAATCCATTGTGTTTTTTTGACCAATATATAAGCGTTTTTTTGAATCCTTTTTGGATCATTTCTTGTACCCAGTAGAAACTCCAGCTTGTGTCTCACTCGGGCCGAAGAACCCAAGACAATGGTGCGCTGGCACAATGGCACGATGACGGGCCCCGCCGCGGGGGTTCGGGCGCGTGAAGGGGCCGACCCGCGGTATGGTAGACATCGATTCTGAAAAGAGGCGGCAGTCAGGGAGGTTCTTGATCATGTTGGGAAGGGATATTCTGAGATTCATCTCGTGCTAAGCAAGGAATGAGGGATGCATTCCCCTCACTACCGATTCCTTGGGATCCAGCCACCCTCAGCCACCCACCCTCCTTCCGTCGCACTCAGTGGATGAAGATCTTCATCTGACCATGGCCCCCCGAGGCCGATGGCATGGCCTGGCTCGCCAGCGTGCCCGTCTTCCGGCGCCTGGAACGCTGCGAACTGCCGGGGCCACGGGAACATGGGAGAAAACCGATGGGGAAATTCATGGCTGACCAAGCCCTGAAAGTGGAAGAACAGTCGAACGCCACGGGAACATTGAAGGTAAAGAACTGCTCACCAACCCATTCCGTGGGGGTCCAACCAAGACCTGCGGCCGAGGCCTTTGCTGGCTGCAGCCTTCCACAGCGCAAGCTTCACTCCAGGTGAGCTCGTTTTAGTGAAAGTTGGTGGGATGAAGAGACGGATATTTTGGTGATGTAAAGGCGAAGTTGGTGAAGGCTTTTTCTGGGAGGATTTTGACGTTGGATGATTTTTCTGGCTGGAATTTGGAAGTTGGGGAAGCTTTTTGTTTGGCTGGATTTTGTAAACTAGTTTGTATATGTTTGTATTCTTTCCGCAAGTCAAAAGTTAGTCTTAGTCGAATCTCCGATCGTTTCAGTCAGAGTGAGTTCACTAGACCCTTGGGTTTTAGCAGCATGTTTATACCAGCTGCAATGCTTTCCATACGTAAGTGTATATATATATATTTATATTTATATTTACCATAATACATATATCCTGCCCTTGAACAATGTACTTGAGGTCTTCTCATGGGAGGTGTGTTGCCTTAGGGAGATGGGTTGACATGGTCTGCAGACATCAAACTCATCCATGTCTGCAGCTGGGCAACTCATCCAACTGCTGGGGTCGGGACTGAGTCCATCGCCTGGGCGTTCAACGCGATCCCTGCGATCAAGCCTCCAGGGGAGACGATCTTCCGAAAGGGCGATCCTCCAGAGGTCGACTGCGAAAGACGAAGAGAGGGGGGTGACTGGAATAGCTGGAGAAGCTGTGGGTGAAGGAAGTGGATTTGACTTAGATACTCTCCGTGCATCATGAAACTGGAGAGTTCACCCCCTCTTGGTCAGAGGAAAATGGTCTTCCTTTCGGGGCCACAACGTTCACGTAATCATGATGGATTCTGAATTTAGGACTTCTACACCTGAGGCTGAGCCGACATCTTTCGGACCAAGCTGGGTTGGAGGTTCGTTTGGACTGGAACCCGCGACGCAGACCCACTAGTAACCCACAGCAAGTGGCACAGCGTAGATCAAGGTGTGGGAGTGTTTCAACATGTTTAAACTAAGGTGGAGACGTGGTTGGTGACTCGGACAATTAGCACATTCGGGCATCAATTTGACACGGTCGCAAGCGAGCCAAAGGTCTTGATGGGGATCTATACATCCGAAGCCTCCAATTTCAACCGGGTCTCTCTCTCTCTCTCTCTCTCAAGATGTCTGATTGGAAAGTAACTTAGCAAATATCTTCCAAGTCTTAGCCCTGAACCCTGCAGTAAACTGATGCTTGGTGATGCTGATGGTGTAGCTAAGAAGAGATCAGCATCACCAGCATCACCAGCATCACTCTACCAATATCATTGACACAAATGATCAGCACAATTCTGTCTGATTTCGTTGGCGTGTTTGGCTCTTTTCAGGCCTTCTACGTGATTCAGGAGGGAGAGGCAGGAGAGATGGCGATTCCTGGTGTCGAAGGTCGCAGGTCGACGTGTTTCTGTGTTTTATTCACCAAACAGTTTACTGTTGGGGTTCTATCTTAGAAAGAAAAGAGCTGGCCACACTCACTGGCCGCCCCTGAACTCTGTGGCTGGGCCTTGTCCTCCTCTTGTCCTCCTCTTGGCCGCGC